CTATTGGTCTAGTATTAAAAAACTCAAATAATTTTCTAAATCAATCAAATCTTTAATAACAATCAATCTATTTATTAGATTTCGACTTTTATAATAGGTTTATATTAAAATCGAGTTATAGTTAAAAATTATTATTACAGTAACAACAATTGTGTAATATAATATATTGATTTCATTTAAAATATATTTCATTCACAATAAACTCATTGTTTGCTAATTATTGCGAATAATTTAAGAAGTTTGTGATAAATATTTACAAATTGATGAAAACTAAAAATTATAGTTAAAATGAATGTGAATGTCATTTATATACATGAGAACTAAAAACTGATGTTTTGTATTGAATACAAATCAAGCGAATGAAGTAATGATGCGTTTATTCACTGCCGGTCAGAGCGATCGACTCGTCCTTATGACTCGTCTCAGAGTTTATGAGTTTTTCGGTTTCACTCTTTTGATTATTTTGAGGAGTGGGAGGGGGCGAGAGGATCGGTATGTCCTTATCTCTGCCGCACTTATAGGCGTCGACGAGTTCGTCGAGACGTTCAGGAGTCGGACCCCATTTGAGGAAACCGGAGTCGTTCTGGAGGAAGACAACGAGCGTCCCGTGCGCTGACTTCACGTTTACATCGTTTTTGTCGCACACGTGTTGACAACCGTTTCTGTACTCGTGTTCAAAGGCAGGTATTACCAGATGCTTGCGCTTGAATTTACTGCTTTCCAGTTTGGTTATCACTTTTGGCACCGGATCTCTCCACTCGGGCACAAACACTATGAATGAGAGCGGTTCGGGAGAGTTGGCTAACAGTCGGTCGAAATGATCGACTGTTGACTCCATTAGTTCTTCACAAAATGGAGGGTTGGCTTCAAATGAACCGCAAACCGGATGAAAGTTGAGAATTGGTCTGAAATAGTAATCAATGTTAAACTACTATCCGCTAAATGATTCATTTGAATGGCAGACATACCCTCGGGACCCGAAGTAGCTATCAGTGTCGGCGAATGCGGAACAGTATTGTCTGAAATAGGAGTTGAGAGGCGATGCAAAGCATTCAAAGGTAACCCCGAAGTGTTTGTGCAGAACCGAGAACACAGAGAGGGGTAGTGCTCCCTGAGTGGGCGAACTCTCATTGCTGCCAAACCACGTCTATGTAATGACAATCAGTATTTAATTCACTTCTCTTTCAAAACCCCGAAGTGTTTGTGCAGAACCGAGAACACAGAGAGGGGTAGTGCTCCCTGAGTGGGCGAACTCTCATTGCTGCCAAACCACGTCTATGTAATGACAATCAGTATTTAATTCACTTCTCTTTCAGTTTACAATCAATCCGTAAATAAGAGTATATTAAAGAATTTATATGATATGTATTCAATGCATAGAAACTTTTCTAAATACATTTTATAAGTTAAATACTTATAATTAATAATTTAATTACTAGTCTGCCACTTTTACTAATCATTAAAAAATATTTTGAACCGGTAAATATTGTCCATTAGTTTGTTGTTTCATAATTATTTTAATAAAAACTGAATGTACTAGCAAATTTAGTTGTATATTCACAGAATTATTTTAAAAGCATTTAATTTTCCATTAAATATACTGTCATTTAATATTGATTACGGTACTTATATGATAAATACACTGCAATATAATTTTATGCAAATAAATATTTATGAAACGCAAGAATTGCTTAATAAAAGCGAAAATTGAATTTAAAAATAAGTTAGTATTGAAAATAAAAGCATTTATTACGATTTGATTGAAAAAAAGTTTTATTATTGTATATACAAAACACTTATGAATTAATTGGTCAATAATTACTTGATATCTCTTGAGTAGAGACCAAACTCTTGTGAGGAATAGATTAAACTTGCGGTCATCGAAACAGTTGTATCGATAGAGTTGTTCCAACTTCTGGAAGTAAAGGGTACTGATTCGCAACGAATCGTTTTTATATCTCAAATGTGTTGTGTCCTTATCGGTGAATATATGAACGGCTGGCTGTTTAGGACAGG